AAAAAAAAAGGTTCAAGTTGTAATAAACTTGTTGACCCAAAAAACAAAAGGTGGTAATAACTAAAGTTCCGCAAATTTCAGTGATTAAATTGAGTCTGAAACGAGAATTAATTTGAACTAAAAATGTGAAAGAAAACCTCATAAAAAAAGGTGGATATGAATGTCTTCTAAACAAAGTTTGTATCATAAATCTCCTTAATTCCAGACACAGAAGGGAAGAATGACCCTTTCAAAGTGACTACAGGTAATGAAAGACAATGAAATGGTTGTTAGAGCATCAACTTCCAAATGTTAAATTAAAATACATCTTATATCAGTAATAGGACATACGTGTCTAATGGCAATTGGTGCATATTCATCAGAGTCCATCATTTGGTCGCAATCTTCAACTATTCTGTCATGGATGGATTATTTGTTTTCATAAATCAACTTCACCAAGAATATAGACGTTTAACTTAAAGATAACATCGCCAACATAAGCAAATTTTAATTTCTAACCTTTTCTCTCGTCCTTATTATACATATTGAGGCATAAACACCAATAAATTAAGATAACATGTTTTTGACACACATATATTTCTCTACATCGTATTTAATTTGCAGAATTTTTCATACTGTACGAACATTATTAATTTTGAAAGTACAAAAATGAAGATGACGAATGTCGTTCTTTATGCGCAAGTACCTTCAACATCAAAGAACCAAGACTTTACAAATAACAATACATATCTAGCAAATTCAAGAGCAATACTACAAAACCTAAGAAATAAAACATTACAGCCCGTGTGGAATACTTGCTTGGAAAATGGATTATGTTGGAACCTTAAAACCAATGTTTTATGAAAAGATACAAGAGACAAAGCCTTTACCCAAACCATGACTTGGAACTTTCCCACGGAAAATCTAAACATACCACGAGATTAAGCAAGTTTTAAGATAGTGCATTCTAATTTCATATATAGTTTAATCAATATATAATTTAAGAATAGATAAAATTTAATCAATAAATTTTATGATTTTCCCATTAAAATGTAATCTGCCTTGACTAATAATAGGCTGGCCAAGTGGGTCGAAGCCTCTGTAAACTTTGGGCTAACAAAATTGGCACATAGATTCAATTGCATGCTCAATTATATCCTTTGAGTAGATGACAACAGTTTCACACTTGATCAACCAGTTAAGAGGAAGAGTGATGTAGGTACATATGACTTGGACAATCATTCTATATAATTTTATAAAAAAAATTATTTAAGTAAAAAGAACTTTAAAGTAGGTAGATATCCAATTAAAATTTAACAAAAAGATAAAATACAAACATGGGCATTTGGTCTAGTGGTATGATTCTCGCTTAGGGTGCGAGAGGTCCCGAGTTCAATTCTCGGAATGCCCCAACTTTTTTTCTCTCTGTCTCTGCCAAAAATGTTTGCATTCAGACACAGCTATTTTGTAAACCCACAGGATCATTTAGTAAGCCCTTTTTTTTTTCAAGAGCGGAAGAGTCCATTTATTGTTTTATTTAGTCTTTGTTTTATATTTATTATTTTTTATCATATGCAATATTATGCAAATTAAAAAAATTCAATGCATCTTATTTATTTTTTAGAGATCTTAAAATTAATATTATGAATTTAAAATTATATATAAACCATAAAAGAAAAAAATATTTTATAGAAACAAACAACTGAATCACTAAAATTAAAAAATAATTAAATCAGTTATATTTTTATAAATATAAATTTTATTTTAAAAATATCTATAATATTAAATACTGTAATTGGTAATTTGTATAAAAAACATTTTTCTTTACATTTAACAATAAAAATAAATAAATAAAATTATTAATTAATGTATCTTAAATTTATTTTATATTTTTAATAAATTAGAATAAAAAATATTTATTTTATTTTTTATAAAAAGGAGCATAGAGACTAATACAATAACATAGATGAAACCAAGTTAGATTTAATTAAAATTAACCCAAGAGTTATCCGGTGGCCGACATGCTGTGTACTTGCAGCCCATGGTTTTAAGGTATTGATTTTTGTGTGATACGTGTGACCCTAAATAAAATTCAGATGACGCCCCACTTTTCAATTTTCTATGTTGTCTGTTCCTTCTCGCTGCATGGGGATATCATATAATGATGCTATTGCACGCACACCCAAACAGTAGCAAATCAGAGAGATGTTTGAGGCATTGTTTGGAAGGTTGACCCAACATTGGTATGCGACGGTGTGCTTCATCGTGGCGGTGGCGTGGGTTGCAATAACTCCCCGTGTTGAAGAGAAGCACCTCAGCAATCATGACCGCACCACACAGCGTCTTCGTGCCACGCATGGTCCACCGCTTCGACCCCATCACCAACCCCTCTTCTAGCTTCTTCTTCTTCAATTCCATTTATGCTCAACCTCAACCATGTACACGCTACTCCTACTTCTAAGTTATATTGCAATTGTGTTGTTAGGTTCATAAAAATTGAATTAATTGGATCTATACTGAAGTTTTGATATCCAATGTTGAGACTTTGAGATATTGTCAATTAAAATACATGTATGATTCCGCACTTCTCACTCAGGGTTTTTCGTCGATAATTACTGTTCCCAAAAACTTTTTTTACATATAGCAATTTTAGTCATATGGCAAAATAAGTTATAAGGTAGAATCAATTAAGGATTAAGTATATTTTTGATGACTGGATAACAAACATTTTTTTAACTTTTGTTTTCATTTATAAATGGAGTCGTTAAAATGAATTAAATTTGGTAGAAAAATTGTGGTATCTATAAAAATAATGACACGTTTAAATTTTTATAATATCAGTTGATAATTTATTTTGTGTTAGACAAAATAATTTATTTATTTTTAACATACGTGCAGCTACAATACCAAACGAATCAGTAATGTAATAATAACAAGTTAAGAAATCAACCGTCAATTTGCTTCAAAATGCGTAAGAGAGTACCGGGCATAATTATGGTGGGTGGAAATTAGTTGACCTTTGATCCCATTAAAGTGGCAGAAAAGCCAGTAATTGACACATTACTTTATGTCTGTTGTAAACAATCGATAAATAATGAAATTTAAAATTCATTTATTTCGAAATTTAACATTCTTATCCCTTACTTATGAGTAACAATACTATTTAACGTCAAACTTTATGAAAATAAATGAATATTTAAATTCAAATGATAAAACACAACATTATATGTAAAAGAAGAAATTTATACTAATATATGTTTAAAATTTTTTATATTTAATTTATATTTTTTATTTAATTTATATTTAATAACTAATAAAATAATAAATTATAATTTATTAGATATAAATTAAATAAATAATTAAGATAAAATATAAAAATTTTAAATTTATATCAATATAAAAATATCTTATTATATATATATATATAATTTTATAAAGAGATAAAATTTATTTATACTGATTTAAGTTTAAAAATTTTAATATTTAATCTAAATCTTTTATTTAATTTAAATTTAACGGATTATAATTTATTACTTTACTAGTTATTAAATTTAAATTAAATATAAAAAATTTTAAACCCTTTTACAAAAGAGTTTTATTTTCATTTATGCCTAAAGGTTACCTTGTGACGGATATTTATGATGGAGGCCGAATTTCAAATCACGACCTAATAAGATAAATGAAAGAGGATATGTCAATATCAATGTTATCATTCTATTTTGCCTTTCTGAAGTGAAGGGTACCACTTGTAAGCCAAAAACCTGCTAAATTTTTTTCCTCTTTATAAGTTCAACTTTTTAGTTATTGATATATTATTAATATTTGATTTTATTGAAAAAAATATTAACAATATAATTTTTATGCACTTTATGTAGTTTGTTTATTTTTTAAAAATTAAATAAAGATGAAAATAAGTTAGCTACTTATCAAGAAAATATGACTTAATATACATCAATCTTACTTAAAGATAAAGTTAATTTATTAAACAGGTAAAATTAAATCTCTATTTAAAAAAAATAACAAGTTAGTATATTCAAATAAATATACAATAACAGTATTATTATTGTTATTATGTTGACATATTGTTGTTATATTTAAAATTTATATACTTATTTTATTTAAATATTTTAATTAACTGATTTGTGTAAAAAATTAGGTTTATTAATTTATTTAAAAATATTTTTTGTCTATTTAAAAGACTTTATTGTAAAATTAAATTTTAGATAAATTTATTAAGCCAATCATACTTTCAAAAGGATAGAATGAAACTTTAAAGATGAGTCATGTTAAGTACACAGATCAAATTTAGAATTCAAAGTCAGCTTTAAACATTGCAAAACTTGTTTCGGCTTAACCTATTTAAACTTCTAAAGTTAAAATATTTTTTTAAAATTATTCATTTAATTTTTTTAATTTTTTAAAATAAATCAATAAAAAATACTTTGAAAAACGCAATTGCTATCTTATTTCATATATCTCTGTATTGTTTTAAAATATTAATCCCTTTTAATTTTAAAGTTATAAAACCTAAGTTAAAAAAATTGATTTGAATTAATTTAAATACATGTTTTAATATTTGATAATTTAAAATTAATCTTATTAAAAATAATTATACTAAAATTTATAATTTTTTAAAAAATTTCATTTGATAAATATGATAAAGTAGAAAAGATAAAATATAAAAGTTATATATTAAAAATGATAAAATAAAGATAAAATAAATTTTTAACTTAATTTACATTAAATAATATTAAGATAACTAATTAGATAATATTATTTTATTTATTGTTAACTTATCTTTCCTCACATAATAAAATTTATATTAAATAAACAAATAAGATTAATTTATATCTTATTTGCTAAATATTTTTAAAATAATATAATTATTTTATCATTTTATATATTTTTATTTATTTTGAAAATACTAGTAGGATAAGAACAAAATACTAAGGAATATAATTTTTTATTTTGACGACACCATCCTAAATTTATAATAATTTGCAACCTTGTTTTTCACTGCTCATGTTTTCTTTTTGACTCTGCATTTTCCAACTCCTCTCTGTTTCTTTTCCTTCCTGCAGTTTCCATCACACTTCATCTTTGCCACATGGCCAAAGGTGCTTCTCAGTCTCAGTCCTCCACTTCCACCAACACGCGACCAGGAATGGTGGCTCCACGCGGCTCTGCTGCCGCCACCGCTGGCATGCGCCGCCGTCGTATCGGCGGAGGAAACAACTCCGGCAGTGTCGGAGGAGGCGCCGGCGCCGGCGCCGGAAGCAACATGCTGAGGTTCTACACGGACGATGCCCCGGGGCTGAAGATTTCGCCGACGGTGGTGCTTGTGATGAGCCTCTGCTTCATCGGCTTCGTCACGGCCCTCCACGTGTTCGGAAAACTCTACCGCTACAAATCTGGTCCTGGCGTTTGATTTTAGGATCCGATAGCTATCGTTTCTGATCCCCTTTGGATTTGTAATTGTAGTTCTGATCTGTGCCCTAAGCGCTTGATTTTCGGTTCTCCGTTTCGTAATTCAACGCTGCGTTTTATGTTCCCCTTCCCATTGACTGTTGTTGAAGGAAAATCGCTTTTGGCTTTTTCTGTGAAAATACTGTTTTTATATTCTTTAAGGACAGTAATATTTGGTGAGGTGGCTACTCTTTTTCGTTGTTATTAAATACTAACGCTATGTTTTTCAGTTATATATTAAATATTAATGTGGGTGTAGCTAGTTTTTATATTCGTTTTTTATTTTTATTTTTCCATTCCGAGTATAAAAAACAAGTTGAGATCTTAGAATGCATAATTTGTTTCAGAGCATATTAAAAGAAACAAAAAAACATTGTAATGATTCCATCTTGCGATAATTGAATTATATCCGGGGAGAGATTTTAAATTAAACACCACGAGTTTGATGTTTTCTACCATCATTATTGGATGTGCTCGATAATTGATGAGATTATGTTGTATGATCAATGTTCTTTCCAAATTTCTCCTCTTAAAAGGTATTTTCATTGAAAACTATTCGCTTTTTCTTTTTGGGTCAAGAAAAATATTCTTTTAAGACTCATAGAGAAGTAGAGAACAGCTGCCTTTATTTCAGTTGCGCCCTCGTGAGTTGTTGTAAATAAAAAAATAATTTTAATTTAACTTAATGATTTACGATTATATCTAATGTAGAAGTTGATTTAGATTGATTTTGTTGTTATTGCTATTCATTATAAAGAAATTAATTTTAATCGATTTTCATTTACTTCACTTTCACTTTATTACTTTGCTTATTTATGAAGTAAATTTTAATCGTTTTTCGTCAAGTTACTTGTTATAAATTTCCTTTTCTTTTTTCAAATAGTAAATTTTTGCAGTAATGTTTCAACTACGGGAAAACTCTGCTTTTTAATCCTTTAATATATTTTTATTCCTGAACTTGAAGCGTATACGGGAACCCGCCACCTGCCCTGAAGGGTCGTTGCCACCTATCTTTGGAGTCCCAAACGCATAGGTACTGCGACCTTTCTAGCGATTAATATTATTTCATCGAAAGAAACAAAGTAGGTTGCAGCAAAACGAGAGTAGAGGAGAAAGTCTCTCCATTTCGCTTTCAATTGTTATGAATATTTAAGTTGTGAAAATAAAAATGGTAAAGAGTAGGTTGCAGAAAAAAATGTTATGTACAGGGATGAATTGGAGAGCATAATTCATGGCTGCAAAGACTGTGGCTGCTTGTTTGTGGGGTCTATTGTTATTGCCTCTCTTATATCATACTTCTCTTTTTCTATAAATTTTGTTTCTTTTACTTTTCAATTTATTAGTATAATTTATGAACATTTCGCATGTATAGATTGGGTGATTCTAATATCCTCCATATCTTGTTTAGAAGCATTTGAAATATGACTTTTCAAAAAAGCTGAATGATGACTTCTCCACATTTTTTGACTGTTGATTTAATTTTTTTTAATGGGATAGTGGTTAATAATAGATGATGAAAACTGACTCTACAGATTATCATAACTCTCTGAATAATCTTGTTGCTAAGGCTAACTTGCTATATTCGTCAATCAAAGCAACAGAACCTACACTTTCAGAGCAGATGATTCTTGGCAGGGTGTTCTTGTTTGGTGGCCCATTATCCTTGGCAAAGTGTTCTTATTTGGTGACAACTTGACATTGTGCACTACATACATTTAAAGTTACATGCTCTTAACTCTGGTCTTACCAAGGATTTCAAGGTTCAAGGAGGGTTTACCTGTGATGGAATTTTGTTTGTCATTCTGATGAAGGGTGTGATGATCTTTTAGTCAATGGTGGACATGTGGATATCAGGAATGGAATGATCCCATAAATAATTTTGATACAAATATTAATGCGTCATGTATAAGCTGACGATATAGAGATGTTCTCAATACATTGCTGATAGAAAGTAAGATATTAGATTGGACTTATAGTCTTGATTTTTTCTTATAGATTAAACATGTGAAGTAAAGTTGATTATCTTTTATAATAAACAAGCAGTAATAGTAACAAAGTCGATTATAATAGACATTTTTGTAATGAGTGTGTAGTAATAGCAACAAAGTTGATTATAATGGACATTTTTGTAACCAATGTGTAACAGTAGTAACAAGTCTATTATAACCATTTTTTTTTAATGTAGCACTAGTAACAAGTGAATTTAAATAGACTTTTAACGAGCAAGTAATAATAAAATCGATTTAAATTGATTTTCACAGTAGTAGACATAATTGAACATTATTAAGCTAATTAATTTTTATTTATATAAAAGTTGATAAAATTAACTTCTATATAACCTAAATAAAGACATTTACGTAAATTTATTCAATTTAGAATATATATATATATATAATTTATTTTATTTTATTTCTATAAAATTCCTGTATATTTACGATCAAAATTTTATAATTTATAATATCAACTAACATGAAAGACTAATAGATAAACAAATAATACATGCATTTCAAAATGTTATTTATTTAGGATTTCAACCTATCCCTCCCTCTCAAAAAAAAGTTTCTTATTAAATAATTAAATGTTTTTTAAACATTATAAGTTATTGATATATATTTTTATAAAACAATTTACAAAAAGAAGAAAATGACAAAAAATTGATATGTTTGTGAGTTGTGACTTTATACTTATTTTTCAAATTTTCTTTTTTCTATCCAATTATTGCTGGTCAGAGAAATATTATAAGAGTATCCTTTTTCACACTATTATATATATGTGATTGAGTGAGTCTTATTAATTTTATAAAACACTATTATTTATTTAATGAGTCTTATTTTATAAATTTTATTTTATAATAAAAATTATATTAATTTTTTTATTAATTAGTGCTTTTAATTTTAAATAATTAGTAAAGAATTTTTAATTAAAAGTTATGAAAGGCAAAGTGAAGATGGGAAAACAGGGAAATGTTCGTAACAACTAATTAAACTAAGTCAAAAGACAGGCATGCATTGACATTGCCACGCTATCGTCTTCAAAATAGCTTCGCGTAGCGTTCTTTGCGTTCAACGCCTTGTTTGCTTTGAGATTGAACAATGCAGAATAACTGTTCTGGTTTGTTCTGTTATGTGCCACAAACACAAACAGATACAAAACTTTCATCCGACAACGTTACCCTGTTTTCCTCATTTCCCCCCTCAAAACAACAAATTGAGGAGAAACCAAAACAATGTCCGTAATCGATATTCTCGTTCGTGTCGACGAAATTTGCCAGAAATATGACAAATACGACATCGATAAGCAACGCGAGCTCAATGCCTATGGCGATGACGTTTTCGCTCGCCTCTATGCAGCAGTTGAATCCAACATTCAAGCCGCTCTCAAAGTTCCAATCTCTTTCCCTCCTTTTTCTTTCCTTCTTGTTTTCTAGGCTTCAATAATGTAAACTACAGAAGAAAACGATGTAGTTTTAAGGAAGCACCATTTTGTTGCTGTAGTTTTTGAAATTGAAAAGTGCCTATTTAAAATTCAATGCAGAAATCCGAGGCTGCTTCCACGGAGAACAACAGGGCAGTTGTTGCGGCTTTGAATGCAGAGGTTCGTCGAACCAAAGGTAGACTCATGGACGAAGTTCCTAAACTGCGCAAATTGGCACACAAGAAGGTGAACCTCGTTACATAGCTATTGATTAGGAAGCACAAATACTTCAAAATACGTATTTATGTATGCTTTATAGACACTTTTACTTATATTTTGTTTATATTTTTTAAACTTTTATATCAATAGTGATGAGAATACTATAATAGTTATATAAATGTTACCATTTTATCATGTCAAAAATGACATATGCTAAAATAAAAAAAATTCTCTCGTGTTAAAATTTGTATTTCTATATTATTTTTTACTAATTCTATGCATTGTATTATAGTCGTATAATTTTTGAAATTTGTTGTATCTCATCTATGTCGTACTGTATCCATGTCTCGAGTCATATACATGCTTTCTACTCAAACCTTGTTACTGGAAAGGAGGGTTGTGATTGGATTTGAAAATCTAATCTAATACAATCACTTACAGGTTAAAGGTGTCACAAAAGAGGACATGGCCGTTCGTGAGGATCTTGTTCTTGCATTGCCAGAGAGAATCCAAGCAATACCAGATGGTAGTTTCGGTGCTGCTAGTGAAACTGGAGGATGGGCAGCTTCCTCGTCTTCTAAGAATATCAAGTTTGACTCATCAGGTGATTAGTGTTGCTTATACTAGACCCATTTAATAGCAACATTTGAATTGATTTTTAATTATGGCTTTCTCTCTCTCTCATTCCCAACTGCAGGGGAACGACTTGACAGTGAATATTTCCATCAAAGTGAAGAATCCAATCAGTTCCGAAATGAGTATGAAATGCGCAAGATGAAACAGGCATGCAAGATTCGTTCTGTATTTCAATTACCTTGTTTATGCTAATTGCTTAATTAAGAAGTTCTTGTGGTTTATACTTCATAGTTATTTTATGGTATTTGCCACTATTTGATCTACAGTCTTAGATGATTCAAAATTTTATTTGTACAGGATGAAGGGCTTGATATTATATCAGAGGGATTGGATACCTTGAAGAATCTGGCCCATGATATGAATGAGGTTTGTTGTGTTTTGCATCTAACTCAGTTTAGAGATTCCGTTGAAAGATGTTGGATTAAGAGTATAACTATTTGCTCTTTTCTAACCCCAACTGTGTTCAGGAAATGGATAGGCAAGTTCCTTTAATGGATGAAATTGAGACAAAGGTGAAAGAGATATTCATTCAATCTTGTTTTCTATGTTCAAATAGATAATTTTCAGAAATAAATTTTCAAGTATGTCAAAAATGCATAATATGGTGCTTTGTGCATGGCCTGATTTTGCAGGTGGATAGAGCAACAGCTGATGTGAAAAACACCAACGTAAGGCTGAAGAAAACTCTCACACAGGTAATTGACGTGATTCATTGTATTCTCCTTTCTGTGAAAATTTCCAAGTTTCCATTGAATTGCAATTTTTGTTTCCTCTCCAGATGAGGTCTAGTAGAAATTTCTGCATTGACATCATTCTGCTGTGTGTTATTCTGGGAATCGCTCTCTATATATACAAGTAAGTTCTATGTTTGACCCCATTTCAAAACATGGTCGGTGACAAAAATATTTGCTTTTGTTATCCAAAATTTACTTTTTCTTTTATTAATCTGCTTTCACTATTGAGCTCTGCAAATGACTTCTTGATTCACATGTTATACATCAAACACCACTCCACTAAGTGATGCACTTTTACAAGACTATTTATCATGATTTCTTTTTAGCGCACTACTTTGTTTCTTGCATCAAAAGCAAGATGCTAGTTTGGTCCAAATAAAAAAGTGGCAGCTCTATGAATAGATAAGCATCGGATGCCCAGTTTGATATTCTTTTCTTGCTCCATTACGAAGAGTTAAGTGAGGTCATCCATCTACGATTTTGTGACATATGCCAGCCTACACACCTGTTATTCTTGTACTGTATCGTGTGGCACCCTTTATTAGAATAAACTGTAAAAATCTTTGACATCTCCTTGATTACAGTAGTAATACTAGCCTGCATAGTCTCATTATCATCATTTGCATTGCACAACTGTATAGGAAGTTTTTGCTACTTCGATTTGGCAGTCATATGATAATTTTTGTTATATACTAGTTGATCCTGTTATTATGACGGTGGGAAGGTGGATGCACATTCTTTAGTTGATTTAAAGCCAATTAACAGGAATAGGCCTTGTTAACGTGGTCTTTTTTCTGCTGTAATTATACGATTGGTACTGTATAGATAATATAACTGATACGTTAAATATTCATCTGCGACTTTCTCATTATAAGAAAACATGTGAGGGATGTTAATATTTTATTAATTTTATGCTAACCATGTACTCTTTTTTCTCCTGTATACACAATATTTTCTATTTCTTTCAGCGCACTGAGGTGAGTAGATATGGAACTATTGCCTTTGTTGCTCCGACGTTCGATTGTAACATGGTATTACATCCTTGGACTATCTGAGAGCTTTGCTTGTAATTATCCTTCATTACATCACGGTTCAACTGCTGGAGGATGGCAACATATATTATACCATTGTGCTTTGTAATACTTTGATGTATTGATGATTGGATATGCCATCACTCTTTCCTATATAAGTACCTTTGCTTACTATTTCTGTTTGCATGAAAGTCTCTGTATGCACATAGAAGATTGATATTTGGCACATTTGTCCTTTAACATCATTCTTAAATAACCTCACACAACTTTTTCTTATAAAGTATTAAGTCATATATATATATATATATATATAAAATTGACTATACCTATTTATTATTATGTGCATTTATAACAAGATTTATAAAATTTATTGTTGTTAAAATTTGAGAAGTATAAAAGTCATTTTTATATTTTGCTTATATTTATTACTCTATAGGTTACACATGCTTATTATTCTATGTATTTATAATAAAATTTATGCTCATTAAAATTTAAAATGTTTAGAGTCACTTCTATATAAAAATAATAAATCTATATATTATTTTATATATTTATAACAAAATTTATAAACAAATCCACTAAAATTTGCATTAAATGAAAACTAATTAAAATTAATCATAATATTTTTTATAACTTATGAATTGAAACTGTTTGATTTATGCTTATTATCATTGAATTGTATTTAAGTAAATTTTATTATAATTTATAGTTGCTGCGAATGACAACTTCTAAAAAAAATATTAAATTTTTTTAAAAAGATCATTGTCAAATATTAAAAATAGAAAAAAAATTTAATAAATTTCTTAAGTTACCTTTTAATTAAATTTTTTTTATCTTGTCTTTAAGTTATTTTTAAATTTAAATGATATTAATTTAAATTATTTTATTAATTAGTTTAATATAATCTATATTTCAATGTGTACCTAAAATTTTAAAATATACTTTGAATTAATAACAAAAGTATACTTACAGGATAAAAAATTTAGAAAAAATCATTATAAAATATTGAAAATAGAAAAAAGAAAAATCTCATAAATTTCTTGAGTTACCTTTTAATTGAAGAAAAAGTATATCTTTACTTTAAGTTATATTTATATCTGAATGATATTGATTTAAATTAATTTATTGATTAATTTAATATAATCTATATTTTAATATTTAAATTATAATACATATGAAGATACTAATATAAAGTTAAAATTGAATTAAATTAAAATTTATTAAAATTAATTATAATATTTTGTATAACTTAAAAAATAAAATTATAATTAATTCATACTTATTATTTTTAAATATTATTTATAAAAAAAATTATTGGAATTATAGTTATATAATATTAAAAATGACAGTAACAAAATTGTTATGAATGATATTATTAAAAATTATTAAAATTTATTATATAAATAGAAATTTTTGGAAAAATTCAATGTCAAATACTAAATATAGGAAAAAGAATATCAAATAAATTGTACACAAATATTTTTATAAAAATATGATGAGATTTTATTCAACATTTAAATGTTATTGATTTAAATTATTTTAATGATTATTTACCATATTTTATATTTAAATATGTACTTCAAATACTAAAATATATTTTGAATTAAAAAAATTATATTTATAAAAAATAAAAATCTTTATCATTAAAGATGATGACAAAAATATAAAATATACAAAAAAAATATTATATATAAAGAAGTATTTCATAATTTTTTTAATATAATTATATTTAATATAATAATTTTTTATTATATTTATATATATTTTATTTTAAAATAAATATTTAATAAAAATAAAACAAGCTCGTGCAATGCAGCATATGTACCAGTTTATTCTAAACCAGCAGCTGAAACACGACACAAGTGTAATGTGAAAGTTTTGATGTGCACGTATATTTATGTAATCAAGTTCATAATAATTTCTGCTTGTTCAACGTGAAGTCTTTGTATTGGAAATTGGAAGGGGGTACATAACAATGACAATTGGCTTAGTTCTTCAGTATGATTTTGAAAATAACACGCAAATTTTATCTACATTTCTTCACTACTAGGTAGGATAAAGTTCTAGTTGAACTGAAACTGCACGCTCAAGAAGCTAATTGACAAGGGCATTATTCACATTGTTTTTAAGGAACTTCATGTGTAACTTCTACATCTAGTTGTTGCCCATGTTGCAGCTAGCAATAACTATAATCATGCACAAAGAAATAGAGCAATAATTCGTTCGAATATTGAGAGCCTATCATCTTCCCGTTACTTCTACTCCGTCTTAAGTTGTATAATCCATGAAAATATGCCTGTGAAGTAAAGGGTCGTTGACCGTTTATAGTTAGTCCCTTCATCACTGTGGGTACCTGCCAGTGAAGGCTAATTCGTTTAGCTCTTGAAAATTGATACTAGGATCTTGTGGGTTCCCATTGAAAATGTGATCTTGAGACTGATTTCGGTTATAGCAGTTCAATTCTCTAGTGGTCAACACTTTCTCAGGCGATTCGTCTATTTTGATCTCAGTGTTGAACTTCCTGTTAAAAGAAATGAGATTTTCATACGGATCATCTTCGTTAGATTTTCTAGTCAGTGAGTTGAAGTAAGTGTCCAAAGAAGGAGTTGTGGCTTGAGAATTCACTTTGTTGAAACCATCTTCATAAACTGAATCTAGATTGTTGCTTTTGCACCCGTTGAAGCTCAGATTTGACATGTTTTCAGTGGGAGCTATAGGTCCACCAACAAGAATAGAGGCTATGATCTGATAGTCTTTGTACTGATAATCAGTGATCATGTCAGAGGGAAAGTTTGTGTTTGTTGCGTATTCTTCATTCCTCGTTAGTTTTTCTGGCAAGTTTAGTTCGCTAAGATTCTCTTGATTTTCATATAAAATCTTCGATGTGTAGCCTTTATGTCGAACCCGGCATAGTACCCAGTCATCCAACTAAGACAGCAAGAAAGTATTATTGCATCGAGTTCAAGTACTACGAGTAAGGGATCACGGTTTCAGAGCACATGTGAAGATAGTATAAAAAGATTTGCACGTTACCTAGTACAAAAATAATCCTAAACTTTTTTGCTTAATATAAAATGATTTTTTTTGTCTTCCATTAATATATTGCATTATTGATAACCATAAATCTAATTCTCCATGGCATAGAGAAGTTGCCAGGCCCATCCTATTCTAGTTAAAATATCTCATGGAAGCTAAGAATATGGTCAGACTACTTGAGTAAACATCTTCCTATAGTTAACCTTTTGAAGTGAGTTAAACCTACTTTTCTGATAATTCATCAAAGAATTATTATTATTATACTACATCACGTTGATAAACTGGCCTTGTCATGAGCTTTTTTAGTTGAGTGGTGAAGGAAGAAATACCAAAATTCAGTCCTGAAGGTACTTTGTTTATGTGGGAAAAAGAAAAACTGTTAACTCTTAGAATTAGTTTGATATCTCCCTACTTTAATCAACCACTTTTTTAAAGCTCCTAAAAATCATATTCCTAAGGAAGAAAATGTTTGTGTACATGAACACTCACCCGCATGGAACCTTTTATCTTGGAGGATTTGGTGGCTGTGTCAACCAATCTATATTCATTCATGATCCAATCCGTCTTAGCTCCCTTAGGAGGTCGACCTGAATAAAACACCAAAGCTTTCTTCACCCCAATGCGCTTTGACCCACAAGAAGAAATAATTGGCTTGTCAGTTCCAGTTGCCTTCCAGTATCCAGAAGCTGCGGCTCTGTTTGGCCTCAATCCATTTGGGTACTTTCTGTCTCTTGGGCTAAAGAAATACCATTCTTCCTCCCCAAACAACGACTTATCTGCACATTCACAACAAAAAGAAAAACAAAATCACATTCAATTTTCTCAACTGTAGTCAATCATAAGCAAGACTTAGTAAATACAAAGAGTGGATGGCAAAGAACAAACTAGGTAACTCCCATGGATTATACTTATACAGATCTATTTCAGCTATAATGGATGCTGGAAGTGGACGTGAGGTGATTTTGTTTTGCAAGTAATGAACTATGAGCTCCTCATCCGATGGATGGAACCTGAAACCAGGTGGAAAAGAGTAATTAGAGCCATGTTGAACTCCCTCCATCAAAGAATACTTTGTTCTTGACAAAGGAATCAACAAGTGCCGATGATACCAATTTGGGTTGCTTTAAATAAGAGAGTAAAGTGTTATCCACATTATATATTGGCTCTAGTACCATGCAGATGCTGACATTATGGAGAAGATATTAGGGACAGGAACCAATTAGTTGCATGTAAAGTTTGAGAGAAGAAGACAGAGAAACCAATCAATTTGGCTTTTCTCAATGAATTGACCTTCACCTACGTACTAGCTATCAACTTGCGCATGAGAGATGTTTATGATGTATGATCTGCTTAACACCTCATCAGCACAATGCATAGTAGTTCTGCTATAAATTGAGCATTGCACAAAATTAAAATTAAGATTTAAAATTGATTTTGTGACATAATAAGTCAGTGTCACTTTCTCAACCGTATTGTAGATAGTACTCTTGTGCAAAAGAAAAATGTATCCAAAATGAAGCAGATTAATGGGTGAAGATAAGTTACTTGTTTGATTGGATTACATAATACAGATGAGCAATTTAAATAGCTATTAATCATAGCTAACCCCCCAAAAGAAAAAGAAAATCGAAAGGGTGGCTTGGCCTTTTTGTTTCTCTTATTGTTTGTTTTGCCAAGTTATAGAACCCTCTTCAAATTTAGTGCTTTTCAGATGGATTTCTTTCTTTTTTCTTTGGCAAATCAACTAAAAAGTTTTTAAATTTGAACCTTTTTACTTTCCCATCTTTTCTTTTCCAAAAATGTTCAGTAAAAAGGTGAAATCTTCTTTCATCACAATGTTAATGAGGGGACTAATACTAGAAGAGTGACCTTAAGGTGTAAGTTTCTTTATTACTTAAAATAACGTGATACTTACTTCAAAATTTTGAAGTTAGCGATAAATAAATTTAATATCAAATATTGAATTTTTTTCTAAAAAAATTAATTTGTATACATCAGCCTTAAAAAATAATAATTTTGAAATGGAGGGAGTACCATACTCGAGTCTTTTTTCTACTACGGTATCCCAAGTATTAAAGATGCTCTACATAAAAAAAAAATTACATTTACATATGTGCATAATATTTTCATTTCATTTTCTATCATTTTATATTGTTTATTGTACAATTTTTTTGTTCTTTTCGCTTCTTAGTCCTAAAGTTGAGGTGTATAATTAACTTATTCAAATAAAGAGAGAGAGAGAGAGAGAGAGAGAGAGAGAGAGAGAGAGAGAGAATTAAAAGATGCTCTAGAGAGGTTCGTGACTCTCATAACATAGGTTTCTGCGCTAAGCCACTGTCCTTGGAGCACTTATCGAGTTGTCTTATTACAAAGACATAATAAAGCTTCTTCTCCCTTCTTCAAATGTCAAGTCTTCTTACTGCCTTGAAACTTCCTCATTCGAATATTAGCTTTGTCCTTTCTTCCCTCATCCTCAAATGACACTACATCTTCCAAACACTCAAACCATTTCATAAATCAAGTTACGTGGGGACTACACCACAACTTAAATCAATGAATACATGGCTTTTAAACATTATACTTATTTTATTAAACATATACATTAGAAGATTATTAGAAGAATATAATGGTCCAATTTGAGTAAATTTTTAGAAAATATTTTATAGAAAAATTAGTAAAAGTTAATAAAATTCTCTCATAAGTTATAAATAATTTATCTTTTCAATTTTTTTAGAAGATAAACGAGAGGACTTTTTAAAAATAAAAAACTATAAATTATTTATAACTTATAGAAAATTTTGTTATTTCTATAAAGATTTCTATGAAAGTTTGAAGTATAACACAAGATTTTGTTTGAAAAAGTCACGCAGAATTGGAATCTTGTAAACAAAAGTAGAGCTAATCAAAAGCAACGGGGGAAAGAGTAAACTTGAAACTTGCAAAAGCATTTTGGTTGCAAACAAACCGATGAAACCCAGGTTTAGAGTTTGATGGGGAGCAGCGAAAGCAGCTTTAGATTTGGAACATATATGGCATAAGTGGTAATAATCCATACACAGATTAACGTTGACGGAATAAAACCTAGTTCCAATCGATTTTGATTGTCATATTTCGCTAAAACTTAGTTCCTAGGAGCATTTCATGTTCATCTCGGTCTCTCCAATAAGAAGGAGACATGCAGTTTAGTTTGAATTTACGATGAAATGAAATTCAAATTAATCATATTTAATTACGTTGGGGGTACGGATTATCAAATGAATAATGCTATTTTTATTTTATATTCTCACAATATTTTTCGTAATAATAAATTCACATGCGACGACTTAGTTAATTGTGACTTTTAAAAATCATAAATTCAGACATCTCACAGGTTATATTATACCTTATCAATAGATTTATATACAACCAAAAGCATAATAATTATATTCCAAACTGTAATATACACCATCGGATGATCTTTCATTAAGTCCATTATTTTTCTTTAATTATTAATTGAACTCTTGTCCAATAAAAGATAAATACGTAGTTTCATAACAAAATTGTGTTAAAATGTATATGACAGTGCATCGTCCATGGTCATATATGAATTGCATATATATGTTTGATCGGCTATTGTAATTTGGAAAGCATCTAATTTGAGGTCTACGCCAAAACACAACTCATAATTGGAACCTCAAATCTCTCAATTTCCAATTTCCAATTTCCATTACATTTCCTCGAGCTCATTATTGATCAAATATATTCCAAACTTTTATACCAACTCCTTTTCTTTTGGGACCCATGTCTTTGTTGGCGACCAAATCCTTCACAATACTCTTATTTACTTTGCTTTAATTGTAAAATGATCGTTTCATTCCAAATCTTAATCACTGCTTTTTTAAGAGGTGAGGATGGTCATATTCAACAGATAAGAAATGGAGTAATTTGATAGCTTTCTCAACTTAATATCTATTTATTTTCATAATGAACATCACTTCCATTTATAATATTTATCAATTAATTGTTGAAATTATATAAGTGTGTGTGTGCCGTACCATGTGTTTTTTTCCTTATATTTTCCCCTTATCCATATCCTAACGTGCCGTACCTTAACTTTTTATGCAGGGTCCAGAGGAAAAACACACTTAAGCCCAATTTCATCATACCAACTTGATCCACAGCTAATCCTTTTGTTTATTTTTAGTCGCTATTTCGTTATTTTTTCTGTCCAAATTTTTTATTTGTTTTTAGGCATATAAGGTGAGTAGAATGAACAATACAAATGTAAAAACTCAAACGACCAATTTTCTCTTTTTAAAATACTCTACAACTAAATTAAGAGAGGGTAAAAACATGAAATAAAATACTCATTTTTGCAACCGTACAAAGCATTTATTGTATATATTTTCAAACATAGAGACTCGTGGCATAGATATTCTCTTAACATTGAAAAGATGAATAATTATAATTATTGCAAAATTAGACAATAATGATGACTAGCAAAGAGATAAGATATCGCTGTATTGGTGCGTGTTCCACAGGTTTTACGTTGAGGGGACAGAGCTTATGGATTTTGTTAACTGTATTTTCGGAGAATTAGTTAATAAAATAAAATAAAACAATTATTATATTAAATTTTTATTCATTAAACATATCCATGAAATATTAAATCTTTCTCAATTGATATTGTGGCACACTCGTTTCCTGTTAACTGTTATCAAGACTCCATACGTTAAATTAGCTTTGCGCGTAACGCTTATTAAGCGATAATTTAAAAATATATTCTTTTTTTTTTTTTTACATCACATTACATATTATAGTTTATATATTTTTTATTTTATCTTTCTTTTCACTCCATTCATTTCACATTTATGGCCCATAATGTGATATTATTACCCATTAAAAAATACTAAAAATATTGCAAATAAGATATAGTTTACTCTCTCTCTCTTCAAATATTTTTCTTTGATTCGACAGAGAAATATACAGGGAAATGACGAAGACGTGTACATCATCGTAAAGAATCAAGGACATTTTTTTTTAGCGAAGAAGATTTTGACGCTTAAGTAGTAAAAAAAATTAGTATATTAACATTATGATTATTTTTTAATAATTTTTTTTAAAACTCAATCATATAAAAACTGATATTAACATCTAAAAAAAGAGTTCAATACAATATGGTATGTGGTCGAGGCAGCATCAGATCTTTAGATTTGGATTTGTCTTGCGACTTTTTTTCAATTTTTGGTAAATTATTGTCCTGTGAGGCTGTGATCAAGTTCACTGTTTATTAATTTCGTATTCACTGTTTGATCAAGTTCACGTGCACCTCTTATAATTCAAGTAATATCCACACACCATACCTAAAATTCCATATGTCCTCAATTTTAATTCAATACCAGATAATAAGATTGTTTTCTAATTATTTATTAAAAATTTAAAATAAATATTACGTGTGTTATTTAAATTGAGTATGATGATTATGAGCAACAAAGTTATTTTTATGATCATTTAGCATAATTACTTTATTAAAACTTGAATTCCGAGAGTAAATTTTTTTTTTCTGATTATTTAACTCGTTTATGGTATTATTTACGGTGAAAATTCACATAATGTAAATAAATCAATTCAAGAATAAGGTTCTCTTAAATTTTTTTAAGTCTGCTGTAATTAAAATAATTTAATAAACATTGTAAAGCATGAATTTAAGTAGGAACAGTAGAATGGTGAAATAGAAATAATATTAAATTGAACATAAATATTTATAGAAATATACTAAACATAGACGTAATTGTAGGAACAAACATAAAGTGAAACTAGAGATTAGAAACAAATTGCAAAAAAATAAATGTACAACTTTAGTATTGAGCAACAACAACCATGTGCCTCTTAGTAGCTAGTATTTGGCTATGTACAGAGTTTTAGCTTGCAAAGAGTTTTAGGTTACACATCGATTATCGACATGGAGTATTTATCTTTTGGTATAATAGTGTTTAGATTTTAAAAATCAATATAGACTTGGCTGTTCGTATGAACTTGACTTTAAGGAGCCTTTCGATCTCTTGCTTGATCTTTGACAAC